TTTCATTTCCATCAAATGATGTGGCACCCTTTTGTTCCTAACACATCACCCAGTCCATATCAGTATAAATACACAGCATGATTTTTTGCCCCATTGAGATCTGATGTGTTTTCAAAGTGCTCCTTTAATTCTTTAGAGCTGTATATGTGCGGGTTAAACGCGCTAATTTGCACGTTGCCACATCTTATAGGAAAAGTCCGGTCATATTCAGAATTTTAACTTCTGAAAGTCCTTTCAATATGAAAGTATTACATACTGTTCAATAAATGATAAGTCTTTTTAATTAAGAGTCATTTTCATGTGAATGCGCTTTACTGGAGGCATCCATGTTTGTCAAAGAACACTACTGCCACCTACTGGTTTGTGACGTCACGGTGCGGTATCGGCTGTTGATCAAGTCCCAGTGCTGTATCTGGTGTTTGTCACAACGCGCTATTATCCAAGTCATCTTGAAAACATTCTTCTTCCAAATGTTGGCTACATATTACCTGTTTTTTCTCTGAACAGAAGTTCAATGGCAAATCCTCCCTCTTCAAGTTGGCAATCCAACGACCAACCCGTCCGTGGAGGATCAGGATGTGTGAATATACACTTTGTTAGCATACTTTATATCATAATGTATCATTTTTGTATACGTTTTTGATGCAAACTGAATGCTATCATTTCAGAGAAGGAATTTGTACCATAAAACGCATAAGAAATTTAACAAATGGGGCCTTTGGTATGTTAAAAAGATCTTCAGAATATCTACAGTATGGGGAGATGATTCTGAGGCAAAACACTTCCGAGGGTTTTTGTTTCTTAACCTCATTAAATACTTTAAACCACAGTAGAGTAAAGCAGAGTTTAATTTAAACACCAAATATCTTTGAAACTGAAACCTTAAATCTTTATCTTCACCAACCAGCTATGACTTGCGTTGGAAAGTGTGCCAATTTTTTTGTAACTGTAAAAACACATGGAAGCTGGACAGTTAGAGAGACCTCCCATTGAAATGTGTCTCTTAACCTCCTGAAGCAACATTTTAAAAATCCTCTCTTTTACTGACACTAGTTTAAATCGACAGATTCAATTTAGTTTCAGTTCAGTTCAGTTCATTTCCATAGCGCCAATTCACAACACGTTATCTCAAGGCAATTTACAATTCAACCACATCAGAGTCAAATTTATTCAGTTTTCCATCTAATGAAAACCAGTTGATTGCATCGACTCATTGACTCTAAGCCAATCCCTCACAGTAAGCACAGTGGAGAGGAAAAACTTTGTTTTAACAGGAAGAAACCTCCAGCAGAACCAGGCTCAGTGTGAGCGGCCATCTGCTGAGGCCCACTGGGGTTCAAGGAGACAGAAGCAGAGATAGAAAAAGCAGCTGTAAAAGGCGGCCCCGTCCAGGAAACACACAGCCAAGCGGACGAGCTCCGAGCCAGCTCCCATGTCAGAGGATGAAGAGAGCACATCCAGCCACTCACAGTCAGAGAAACAGGACTACACTGGAAAACAGGCAGATCTCCACCATCTATAAACAAAGGTGTTGATGGAAACAGAACATCTGATTATGACATTCTGGCTGAATGGCCCTTGTCTTACTTGGAAAATCTATATCTTATATATACATATATAACAACTTCTTGCAATCTATCAACCTAGTGAACGCCATACCCATATAAACAAAATGTAAGAAGGAAATGAGCACTGAGATACCAGACATTCTATAGGAAAAGAGTTTAGAACATATTCAGTGCTCCAATAATTCCAGGCACTGCCTAGTCCAATTTAATAATTTACATCACCTTGACTACTCTAAGGAAATGTTATGTTATGTCAAATGCAGACACTGAATCTGAAGGTGGTTACTTGCAGATTTAATAACAAAAAGGGTAACAGAAGCAAAAATCCTAAAACAAATATCCACAAAAACTGAGAACCAGGATTGCTCACAACAAGTGGGAAAAGAAATGATGACAAACCAGCCACAGTGAATGAGCAGGTGGTGCATATATGGAAGAGAAAAACAAAGACCAGGCTAATCAGCAGATTGGGAGCAGGTGTGAACAAAGGAGTCTAGAAGGGAGCTAAGGAAAAGGAGACTGACACAAGAGGGCAACAGACGGCAAAAAAGAAATACCAAAGAACTCAAATACATTCAAAAATAACTAGAATAACACAAAATGGAAATACAACCAATGAAAAATCAAAGATAAAAATTAAACACAACAAAAAGCCATGACAGGTGACATAGAATATACCCTGAGTTGTCCCCTTTATGGGACAGATGCTACACAGCAGAACACACACTGTTTCGCAGCTTTGCTTTATGTTCACGGGTCAAGATCTTCAGGTTTAATATCTTCAGCCTAATCTTCTCACTATTATTCTAGAAGTGTCAAATGAAGTGAAAACATAATATACATCCCAGCGATGTTTTCACCTCTATGGAGAAAAAAAGAAGCTCCCACCTCAAAGACTCTCCGTTTAGAGAGATAAAAAATACACTTATGGATAAACTCTTGTTATTTGAAAACATTCGATCACCTCTTATTCCTTATCTTACATCCAAACAATTGTTGAATATGCAGTAGGGTACGGGGGGAACTTAGGTTTTGTTTCATGACTTCTTTTTAGTATTTTTTTCTTTACTTCTATTTTGTACCTTACACATTTAACCATTGTTTAATTTTCATTTTCCATTGTTATATGTAAAATAAAAACTGAAAAGAGAGATCATATCTCTCCTATCCTGGCTTCTCTTCATTGCCTTCCTGTTAAATCCAGAATAGAATTTAAAATCCTCCTTCTCACATATAAAGCCTTAAATGGCCAAGCTCCATCTGATATCAGAGATCTGATTGTTCCTTATGTTCCTAACAGAGCACTTCGCTCTCAATCTGCAGGTTTACTAGTGGTTCCTAGAATTTCTAAAAGTAGAATGGTAGGCAGATCTTTTAGTTATCAGGCTCCTCTCCTGTGGAACCAACTACCAGTTTTAGTCCATGAGGCACACTGCAAAAACGATATAAAAATAAGTAAAAATGTCTTAAATTAAGTGTATTCACCCTTAATTTGAGTAGGTATATAAGATAGTTTGCCAATGGAATGAGTCATTTTACTCTTAAAATAAGAGAATTGGATAAAATGCATTTGAAATAAGACAATGCAATTGTTTTTTCTTATTTTAAGTGTAAATTGTTTTGTTCCATTGGCAAAATGTATCTTTTACCTCCTCAATTCAAGAACAATTGCACTTATTTTAAGAAAAAAATGACTTATCTAGATTTAGATTTTTTGCAGTGCAGACACCCGGTCTACTTTTAAGGCTAGGCTTAAAACTTTCCTTTTTGATAAAGCTTCTAGTTAGAGTGGCTCAGGTTATCCTGAGTTATCTCTATAGTTATGCTGCTATAGGCTTAGACTGCTGGAGGACATGGGGACCCCCTTTTCATCATTCTGCTTAATTCTATCTCTATTCTCCCATTCTGGAGTATTTCTTAGTTCAACTGTCTCTACTTGCTCATCCAGTAGGAGAGAATCCTGAATGATCTGATTGACCTGGACCTATAAAGTGGCCTGAGATTGAATGTGATGTGATTTGGAACTTTAGAAATAAATTGCACTGAAGTAAAATTAATTGCGTTTTGTTTAATTGACTTCTATTGGCTATACTGTTTATTATCTGGTATCTATGTTTTAGGTTTATGCAGGGGCAGATTTATGAAATTTGGGGACCTAGGCAAAGACAGGCAGGGGGCCCTCTGAACTGAGGAGACAACACATAAAACAGACCCATTGAACAGATAGAGAAATGTTAATAGAATAGACATCTATTATTTGTTCTAGGTTTTGTTCCTCTCTTCTTGTCCCTTTTCCTGTTGTTTTCATCTCTATGTTTTGTACTCAGCTGACTTGTCATGCTGTTTGAAAAGGAATTAAAGATTTTTTTCTAAGCACTAAGCTCACTTAGCTGATTGCTCCTTCCTGTGTTTCCAAAAAGGCAAAAGTAAATAACCCAGTCCTTCTTTTCACTGTAGACAAGCCATGATCTGCTTATCTGTTCTCCATTTTTCATTTGGATGAAATAATAGCTGCATGAATCATGACAGCAGACTAATTTCAGACTTAAGGTGCACAAATAGGGAGTTGTTGTATTAACATATATGTAATACCCCAGGAACTTGGGGCCCTAGGCAACTGCTTATTATTTTCTAATGATAAATCCCCCCCTGGGTTTATTGTTAAGTCAAAACAGAAAGATACTAAAGTTGGTTAACTGTTGTTTTATTATCACAAGCCATTCGTTTATGGTGGTAAATTGGAAAAGTTCCTTAACTTCCTGTTCCATTACCTGTCACTCTATTTATTTATTCAAATTAACTCTGGAAAAGCAGACTGTCATTTTCCCGCTGCTGTAAAGAAACCACACCCAACCCACTGTGTCCCAAAGCAGGAAAAGACAAATAATATGAAAGATAACGTCTCTAATAGTGTCGGTAATTAGGGGGTTATTTTGGACATGGTTTTTATTTCATTTTTATCAATTTTAGGCGCTGTTGGACTGTTCCTTTAAACATCTTTAATGCTGCATTCAGGAACTGCTGGTAAATTCCAATAATTACAATGGAGGTGCGCGATTTGCGGAAAAGATTGATTTGAACTCGTCAGTAAAAGTTTTACTGCAGGGATAAATACAAACCCAACAGCTTTGTTTGAAGTTAAATGACGAATAGTGATGCAGCGCGAGGCTTTCTTTTCAATTAGGACCAAAGGTGGAATAGACTATTTTACATAGTTATTCTTAAAATATAGATTTTTTCTTCTACTTAAAAGTGTCGATTATTTGCATTTGTTTTTTTTTTATGTATAAACGTTAGGTTATGTCTACGTTCAAATCGATGTTAGTTGAAAGCGACGTGCTTCTCTCCTGTTAAGTGCGCACTTTAGGAAACGTCCGAGCCTGGCAGCTGTCCGTGAACGCAGCGCCATCGCCGCTTTCCTGTTGCTCAGAGGAGGCAGGCCGGTGATTTTCCACTGCCGCTCATCTATCTGGTCCCCCAGTTCCAGAGACAAAGGTCAGAAAGAGAAGCTTATAAATAGGCGAAAGTCTGAGCTTCCGACGCGTCCACGCATCAGTCGCTGTCACGGACACGGGAGGACACGGACACGGCAGAGCAGACTGAGGACATTAAAAGGAGAAATTAACAGAAAACATCCCATCCTAGGAGCAGGTAAAGGAAAATAAATCATCCTTTAAGGTTCATTTCAGACTTTTGCTCAGATGTAGGGGGAAAAAAAGCTGCTTTTATTCATTTTGAAGGAAAATAATATGAATTGTGTTTAATTTATGATGAATTATTTCTATCTGCTGCGTTTGAATGAAAGTGAGTTTTTAAAGCAAAGATGATAGAAAAGCCTTGAAAAGTTGGTCCAGATGAAGCCGGACCGCTGAGTCTGACTCGCAGCAGAGTTTTTGTGTTTTTGCGGGGAACTGCGTGAGTGAACGGATGTTTCTTTGTCACGCGTGGAGGCTGCCCACTGAGGAGCGCGTGGATATTCTGCGTCCCTGAAGGTGTCCATCAGCCTGGATGGATGGATGGATGGATGGATGAAGGTTTTCCTCTCTGATGAAGCAGCCTGGCTTCATTTCTCTGCTTTACTTCTGTTCTTAAAGCTGCTCTTCAAAGGGGGAAGTGGATGCTGCCTCACTCCCTCCCTCCTCCCTCCACCTTTTGTCTCGCTTCCTGCTTTCTTTAATTTCCTCTCTTTGGCGGAATAAAACTGAAAGCTGTTAATTTCCGTTTCTAATGCCTTTTTAAACAGACTGCAGGATGTATTTCTTTATTCTTGCAGTGTCTGCAGTTCTTTCCTGATGCTGTAGGACTGATGAGGAGAAGGGGCCCCCAGAAGCCATCCAGGTGGTTCCATTTTAGGAACCGCTTTGTGACATAGAAAGCTTGGAGTCCTTCTGCTGTTTTGAAGCTGCAGAGGATTTCCTCTTGTTGTCTTAGAAAGGCCTCAGAACAGGCAGCAGAGGCGTAGCTAGAACAATTTTATAAGGGTGGCCAGGCAGTGACCTGGAGGGGGCCCAAAGTTGATAGGCATGTCACGACCCAAACCGTCCCCGAAGCACGATCCGCTCTGCGCATCCAGATATACATCCTGGTCACCCTTGATTTTATTTTGTTAAAAAGACCTAAATTACAGTTTCCCTCCCCCATAATGTCCTAAAGGTTAATATACTTTCTCAGATAATAAATGCTTTAAAATCCTTTCATTTATCAGACTTCTGCCTGATCTGCACCAGAAATGGGATCCTATGCCATTTGCGGAAGCTAACTTTTTTTGGCTTTGGATTTAAACATTAATCTAGTCTTTTTGAGGGTCGGTGATGAATGGAAAAATGCCAGGGCTGAAAATCCTTCCCAGTCTGATCTACGCTGTTCCAACAGGAAAATGAACGAGCACAAGGTCCATATTTTCTAAATGAAGACAAATGATACTTTCCTACAGTCTTTACTAAAAAATAGACGCATATATATTTAAACATCTGTGCTTTCTAGATAAGAGGTATAGTGAATAAAAGTCTTTCAGGTTTGTGTTCTGGGGCAATCATCTTTTCCATTGTCATTACCTACTTTTATCAATAATCATTCTGCATAAAATTGATATTTACTATAAATATCTACATAAATTGATTATTATTATTTAGTTTAAGTTTTTATTCAAATGGTTATTTATCTATGTTTTCACAAGATGACTTCTAGATGATTTGCTGAGATGCATCACTTTTTCTTTACCCCGTATAACACAAAATCTAGTTCTGAAAAGGGCGTTGACTCTGTACTTATCTTAAATGTTAGCATATTGATTTGCATAATTAACCAAAGTGTTTTTGTTAAGTAAAAATGATTATATGAAAAATTAAAATGTCCACTTGAGAGTACTACTGCTGCCAGAGGGGAAAAATGGGTAGGGGTGGCCAGTGATTGGCTAAGGGTGGCCATGGCCACCCCTGGCCCCCCATCTAGCTCCGCCCCTGCGGGGCAGAGCTTTGCTGGGACACAAACCTGCTGCTCGTGTTGTTTAAGGTGCTTTATGATGAGGTGAACCAACAGAGACTTTGTAAAGATTGTGTTTTCTCAGAACTTGACCTTGGATCATGAAACCGTATCAGATCTGGTTCTGATTCTGCAAGGCACTGAGGAAAAATACCTCCTTAAATCAGTTTATTCCCCCTTAAATGAAAAGTCATATTCAGAATTCATGATTAAATACTAGGGGTTAGCAGTGGCATGGGTGTTGCGATAGGATATATTCACTATGTTGCAATATCACCATATATTGTGATATTTTATCTGCTGTCAAAATTGAATGTATAGATAAAAAGGCAACCGCTGTATCTTTGCATCAGATTATATTGACCGTTTAGTTATTTTGGTATCCATGTTGCTTTGGGTTTGAGTCGGTCCACGTCTTTCACTGTGACTGCCTCATATACTGATATGGCGCTGCGTCGCACAGCAAAAGGCCTCCACAGCGCCAGAGTGGCGGTACAAAGGTAGCCCATTTTCCCTCAGTTTTAGGTAAAAATTCTTTGCTTAAAAAAAAAATTATACTAGGAACTAAAAGATTATTATATCAGGCAGCTAAAAACCCCGATATTCGGCCAAAATGTTTATTTTCCAAACCCCTAGTACATGCTGTTCAATAAATAAGTGTTTTTAATTAAAAGTAATTTTCATCTGAATTTGCTTTACTGGAGGCATCCATGTTTGTCAAAGAACACTACTGCCACCTACTGGTTTGTGGCGTCACGGTGCGGTATCGGCTGTTGATCAAGTCCCAGTGCTGTATCTGCTGTTTGTCACAACGCGCTATTATCCAAGTCATCTTTTTTTCCTCTTTTAACCTTTAATCTGCTGTTGAAGCCGTTACTGATCTGAAGAATTCCCATCAATCATTAAAACTTTCCTGGCCTTCAGTGACGAGGATGAAACCATCTGAGACGCTTCAGGAAATCTCCATATAAGGGGAGCAGGAGGTCAGCGAGGATTTTTTAGTTTTAACCCCTGCTGTCTCCACAGAAAGTATTTAGAGATGCAGAGCCGGTGGTTCATGAAGAGTCTTCCTGTTTACCAACCCTGAGCTGAGAGCCTCTGTATTAACAGCAGCTTGGTTGCTGTTCAATGATTCATTAAGTAACTGGAGGTTTGTGGAAACGCTGCTGACATCTTGGCTGTAAATGCGAATCTATTCCAGGAGAAATTCTCCTCTGATGAAATGACAGCTGACTGCTGCTGTTCAGATTAATGGACAGGATCGGCGGCGCTGACCCGCTCCAGCTCTCCAATTAGAGCCGCGCCATTAACCTTGGATGACTGTTTCTCTCTGAAAAAAAAATGTTTTACTGGCAGCTGAATGTGGAGCAGTAAAGGCGGTTATTAACTGCCGACGTAATGTTATTAGAAGTAATACAGGTTCCTGTGAGGTTCTCATGCTGATGGAGGACTACAGCTTCCCTAACAGAACGGCGCCCCCTTGTGGCTGATGAATCCATCTGCTAACAATGTTTGTGCTGGTGCATATCTCCAGCTGTTTACGGGCGAGAGGCGGGGTCCAAACTGGACATGTTGCCAGGGCAACACGGAGACAAACTGGACAAACAACCATTCACACACACATTCAGACCTAAGGAGAATTTAGAGAAGCTGATGAACCTAACAGCCATGTTTTTGGACTGTGGGAGGAAGAGTACCCAGAGAGAACCCACGCATGTTCAGGGAGAACATGCAGAAAGACCCCGGGCCGGGAATTGAACCTAAAACCTTCTTGATGCAAGGCAGCAGTGCTACCCACGGCAGCCCTCTAGAACCAACTAACTAGACTTTTATCCATATATTTACTTTAAATCTGCGGCAACACAGAGGGCATGATACGTTTAGTTTTATAATCCAAACAATACTATACAGCAGAGGTTCTCCAAGTGAGGCTCGGGACCTGCCATGGGTCATGAGAGGGTGAGTTGGAGGTCTGCAGTTGAAGCAACTAAATCAGATGGTCTGCCAATGGAAGGAGGATTTTTGCCTTTAAAATAATATATAGAAAAAGAATAAAATAATTTTCCATGAAACAAGTAGATATAACTTTTATATATCAACACATGATTTTAATATTGAATGTACTATTAAATAATTCAACAAATTCATAAAAACATTTTTTTAGAAGTTTTTATTACTTAACTTTGTATTTATAAACATAGGGATTTTGTTTTTTAACTCTGGTGTGTTGTTGTTGTTTTTTTTTTTTTTTTTTTTTTTTTTTTTTTTGAGTCACAATCGGAGATAAGGCGTTGCTTTAGAGTTGGGAAGGTCACTTTGGCGTTTCTTTGCAGTCACTTCTGGCAGCGGATCTTATCTTCAGGCCGTGTGGAGAGTTCATGCAACCTTCCTAAATGTATAATTGATTGAAGTGACTTCTTGAAGAAAATGCCATGAGAAAGGGGATAAAATAAATAAGATGTATGTAGATTTATAAATATATATTGATACCAGTTTGTTAGCTACCAACGACAACCTGATTTTTGTGTATGCATGCTCCTGTAATACTCCATGTTCGCATGGTATTAACAAGGCCAGCTAATGTTAGCATGGTGATAGCAAGGCGAGCTAATGTTAGCATGGTAATAGGAAGGCAAGCTAATGTTAGCATGGTGATAGCAAGGCTGACTATAGTTGGCATGATTATGGGGAGATGGGCTAATGCTAGCATTGCGATGGCAAGATGGGCTAATGCTAGCATTGCGATGGCAACATGGGCTAATGATAGCATGGCGATGGCAGGGTGGGCTAATGATGGCATGGCGATGGCAGGGCGGGCTAATGATGGCATGGCGATGGCAGGGCGGGCTAATGATGGCATGGCGATGGCAGGGTGGGATAATGATGGCATGGCGATGGCAGGGCGGGCTAATGATGGCATGGCGATGGCAGGGCGGGATAATGATGGCATGGCGATGGCAGGGCGGGATAATGATGGCATGGCGATGGCAGGGCGGGCTAATGATAGCATGGCGATGGCAGGGCAGGATAATAGCATAGCGATGGCAGGGCGGGATAATGTTAGCATAGCGATGGCAGGGCGGGCTAATGATAGCATGGCGATGGCAGGGCAGGATAATGTTGGCATGGCGATGGCAGGGCGGACTAATGTTGGCATGGCGATGGCAGGG